ACACAAACACACACACACACACACACACACACACACCCCACACACACACACACCCCACACACACACACACACACCACACACACACACACACACACCACACACACACCCACACCCACACCCACACCCACACACCCACACACCCACACACACACACACACACACACACCTGTACAGATACATGTATATGAATCGGTATATGTGCTGTATGTGTATTTGTTAATGTGCATACTTGCGTGCATGTATGCACCAGGTTCCCAGCATGGAATGAAGACTCGACGTCGTATATTTCAAAACCTGAACCCTAGCCCTGTCGGAAGAATTACTGGTCGGATCCACATGTGGTCCTTATATAGTTCTAGCGTAGTATACCTCCCTTCAAAAAAAAGGTCTATTCAAATTATTTGGCCCGCTACAGTAAGCTCTTCAGCTGTCGAACTCGAAGAACTACAGAAGGAGTAGGCCAATCGGGTTGAGGCTTCGCTCAGGATCTAGGGTTCAGGGTTTGGGATTCAAGGTCTAGTTTAGGTACAAAGTTGTCGAAATTGAAATGTTAGGGCAGGGGTGAGGAACCCGAAGCCCTAAAGCCTTTGGCTTCTGATGGCCTAGTGGGGCTTCACTAGCAGACCAGCATAAGGTTCGATGCCTCTGCGTTGCTTCCCTTCCTTTGCATGCCTGAAGAACGCTTATGGGCTTATGGGCTCCTGACAAGGGCTCCTCCGTGCTCCGGCTCCGAAGGCAGAAGTTTGCGTCTTTTTGAGCATCATGCTGCAGTCTCTGTGGTTTAGTCTTGCGCGTTCAAGCTTTGGGATCTTGGCATCTTGAGGTCTCTCTTAAAGCCTGCACTGGGAACCCAATAAGGGAGTTTCCAAATCCCAGAGCCGTAGGGACCAGTCATGTTCCGACTCGTTCATGCCGGCAGAGCACGTGGCACGCCAACTTCAGGACCTTGGGCCAGCAAAGAGGGTTCAGGTTTTACAGGTTTTGGGGTTTCTGCGCTCAGGGTTAGCCGTCTGCAGGGTTCAGGGGTTCAGGGTTTACTGGAAGAGGGTGGGACTAGAGTTCTGGGAAGTTTAGGGTAGAGCAGCTGTCATGCTTGAGGTCAGCTTGGGTGTCAGCTTTTGCTGGCTTAGGTTGCCCCAAGCTCAGGACTCAATCGAATCCCCAAACGCAAGGACCACTGAGCTGCAAATCCAACAGCCCTGAGCCTCAACACTTTGAGGTTTCTCTCCCGATGCCCGAGGCGCGTTGAGGGGATGAGAGTTTCAATTCTAAACCCACCTGAACCTCAGACCGAAACCTAATTCCCTAAGCCCTAGGGTTGAGGTGCCGTTGCTGCCGGGATGCTGGCAGCCGGTGGGCTGATGGCGGATGATGTTGGCCGCAGGACTTTCGGGGACCGGTGCTGGGGACGGAGGCTCAGCGTTTGAGAGCTCGAGAGCCCGGGCCCGAAGTGCAGTCTTTAATGCGACCCACAGCCTGGTTTCGACGTCTTCCCCGAACTCTGGTTCGAAGCGTCAGGCCTTGTAAATTCCCCTACAAACCTGCCTGGTTTCGGCTGTTGCCCTGTGAGGCCTTTGGGCTGCACGGGGGG